CCTCCCTTGCCCTGCCCTCCCCTCCCCTCCCCTCCCTCCTCCGGATCCCCGCTTGCACTGCAAACAAGCCGCCTTCCCCCTTGCCTCCCAGGGAGGTAGCAACAGCAGCATCATCACTGCAAGCCGGATGGGAGAGCGGAGCGAGGAGAGGAGGCAGCCCCGCTCGATGTGACCAGCACGGTAGGAGCTGCAAGCAAAAAAAAACAACCCCTGCGTGACTGCTGCATTGTGTTTCCTCCCCGCCTTTTCGAGGGAAGAGGGGGATTTTTTTGCCAGAGAGACTTGCCATGGTTGGATGTCAATGCCAGTGAGAGAGAACAACAGTCAGGGGCGGAGGAGGAGGAGGACAGACGGGGAGGAGAATGAAGCTGGGGACGGTGGTGGAGAGAAGGAAGGAGCCTCGTCCTATGCATCAAAAGGAGATCCCTGCAATTGCTGAGCCGTCCCTCTCCTCCTCGCCGGCCACAATGGTCTGTACGAGCTGCCAGTGCGTTTGATGACGTTCCCGGCTGGTGAAAGGGGAAAAGGAAACGCGACCATGTAAGATCCACGTTTCCCTGGCCAATTCCTCGCACAGAATAGCTCCGTTGCCTCCGGGTTTGGAGCCCAGGATGGTAACAGTCTAGGGAGTCAGCAAGAGCCTCTTCCCTCACCGATTTCCATCTTCCTTTCTTTCTTTTCCTTGGTTGTGGTGCGCACAGCTCCTGGAGTAGAAGAGGTAAAAAAAAAAAACATGCATCTGGGAATAAACTCGTTGAATGCGAATCTTTTCTTGCAGGACTTTTAATATTTGCAATTCAATATCGATATATTTTTCAACCTCCCCCTCGACGATATAATTGGAAGCAACCTGTGAGGATAGTGTTGAAAATTTCGGGGGTTTTCCCACACACAATGTGAAGGTGCTTTTGTCAAGAAAGGCAATTTTGATATTCATATCAACCACCTTTCCTTTCGGCTTTTTTTCCCCCCTCCCCTTTGGCATTTTATCCGTCGTCTTGGTGGTCTCCTGTCTGATGTACCCCTTTTCTTTTCTTTTTTTTAAATTCAGAAATAACAACTGAAAGAAGAAGCAAATTACCTGACATGCCAAATATTGCTGAAAGAACCGTGTTTCCCTCTGGCCCCACACCCAGTGGAGACCAGCATCCCCTTTTTTTACAGCTTTAGGAGTTGAGAAATCCAGGGTGGTTTGCTTTTTCCCACCCCCCGAGACCATCGCATCCATTTCCAAGAGCCACAGCCTTTCTCTGAAATACCCCAGCTCTTTGGGGCCGGAGGATTGCTTTCTAACCCCTTCAAACTTGTGGAATTTGTCCAATCAAAAATAATAATAATAATTACAGAAAGGGGTGGGACAGGGTTGGGGGTACATTTTTGTATGATTAATTTTCAGTGGGTTGCTGTGAATTTTAACCAGATCTTCCTCCAAATCCATCTTTTTTAATATATAGATTTTTTTTTTTTTTTTTTTTTTTTTTTTTGGTGGGGAAGAGGAAGAGGAGAGTCTGCCCGGCAGAGCCCCTGGGTCCTGGGTTCCTGCTGCTGGCCCATCTTTCCTTCCCATCCCTGCCTAGCAAGGGAAGGCACATGTTAATACCAACTGGTGTGATCATTTTATGGTACTGCTGCTGCGGATTGCTCAGTCCTAGACAGATGTTGCGCCATCAAGGTCTCCTCAAGTGCCGCTGCCGCATGTTGTTCAATGACCTGAAGGTCTTCCTGCTCCGGAGACCCCCTGCCCCCCCTCCGCCCTCGCCACCGCCTCTCCTCCCCATGAACAGTGGAGATCAGCCTTTGGGCTTACAGGCGGCCAACAACAACACCCTGACCACGCTGCATGGGGGGCGAGGGGGAGCCTGGAGGGCGCAGGCCGCAGGCGGGGGCGGTGGCAGCACGGCCAGCCCGCCCGAAGAGGACTGGAGCAGCCCTGCAGGTGAGCAGCCCATGTCTATGATGAGCAGCGCTTCCTCAGATGACTTCTGCAAAGGCAAGGCGGAGGACAGGTACTCGCTGGGCAGCAGCATCGACAGCGGCATGAGGACCCCTCTCTGCAGGATCTGCTTCCAGGGGCCGGAACAGGTGAGCCAGAGAGGCAGGCAAACTTCAAGGCACAGGGGGGTGGAGTGTGTGCAAGGGGTGGGAGCATCCTTTCTTTTAACCGGCCCCTCCATCCACTCTGCTCTTCCCGCAGCCCACAGCGCCGGCTCTTTGTACTAGAAAGGTGATATTGATTTTTCCCTGGGATATTTCGTGTTGATCTGGTTTGGATGCTTTAAAGAAGGGCCTGAGTTTAAACTGCTCTTGCTCGGAAGCTTTGTTCAGAGAGAGGAAGGCTACACACACCCACCAGACACAACATGAGAAGCAGACGCAGGACACAACTGCTGGCCCAGCCACACGTGCACACCCAGGGACATGCACAGACACCGCTCGCAAATGCACAGAGACAGACTTCACTCAGAAACTCAGCCATGCCAGCTCCAGAGACAAACCCATGGACAGACTTTTTATCTTCAGACAGCCCACATTAACTTGCATGCAGAGATGCTACACACAAACATACACTGGCATTGGCACACGTGCACATGGAGAGGTTACTATAAGGCTTTCTTTTACTCCAGGGAGGTCCTTCCTGTGCAATGTCACATCTCAGAAAAGGTTGGTGTGGAACAGAAGTGCAAGGTCCATTCAGTTCTGTTTGTTCACTGGATTTGTGGCTAGAGGTGATCGTGAAGGTGCTAGCAATGGTCTAGTACGCTGCTCGGTGTTTATGTATTCAGTTGTTGAGGCATGGCAGTGATGCATGCAGATTCGCTTTAGTTCATGATACCTGCGTTGAGAAAAGTAAAGCCCTGATTCCCCGCTATAACGTTCCAAGAGCGAGCTTATGGAAATAGCCTTAGCATTTTCCACACGTTTGATACCTCTTTTTGGGTTGTCTCTGGATTAGCAAGTGGCATGTTCATTGATTTAATGGCTTGCATCTTGGTCTAAAACTTGTTTAGAGAGAATGTCACATCTGGGGCCATGGTCTACATACTTTTTATTAGACAGCTGGGGAGCATACTATATGTACCCAGGAAAAGCCATGAATAATGTGGTTTTAGCTGTGCTAAGTGGATACTGCACAAAGTAGCACCTTAACTTCTCTTTAATTAAAAAAATTCAATACATGGAAGAATTCTGGGTTTATTTAATTAATCTGTCCCAGTCTCAAAATGGATAATGACTTTAAAAACACCAGAGGACAAAAACTATTTTTCCAAATCATGGGGAAAAAAATCTCCATTGTAAAAAGTTTCTATAGTAGCATTTAACAGATGCCTCCAGACTTAAACACAACAACCACACAGTTGACATTCAGTAGAGGAAACGTGCTAAGGGAGGGCTTAGGGAGCAAGGACTTCTTGGTGATCCCTTAGCAGAGAAGTTTTGAGCCATTTAGTACCGCAGAAGAATGCTAAAACTTTCTGAGTGTGGACAATATCTTCATTAAGAGAATACTTTGTCTGGGTAATGGATACTTCCCCTTCCATTTGTGAGTCTGGTGGCAGCAGCAGCAAGTGCTTACAAGGAAAAGTGATATTGGGGAAGTATTTAATGTATCGTTAGCTTTTAAAAATGCAATTTAGCCACTGTAAATACTTAGCAGGAACCAACACCATGTGACCACAGAGCTCCCTGGGGATCACCAGCCAGTGCTCTGCAGATTACCAGTGGTCCACAGAGCACAGCTTCACAACCACTGTTGCGCACAACAGGCAGCATTAAGCTTTGGGAAGAAAAAAGAAATTGTGTAAAATTATCCATGCAAAAACAGCTGCCTTCAAACGCTCCTTGGTATATATTAATAGCAGGCCAATGAAGTTTCTCTCCATCAAAATGCTTGGGGCACTACACACCAGAATGAAACAAATACAACGTAATTAAAAAAAAATCAAATGCCACCCTGGGGCACTTTTCACACTGTTTTCTTCAAACTATTAATGATGAAAAGTAGTTCCAGTGTTTTTTTAGCCTGTTAATTTTGATGCTTTTAATAGGGCAACATCCGTACTTGATCTAAAATTATTACTAGAGCAGGAGAGATGTCAAACACCAGGTTGTGGCCTCCAGCCTCAACATGCAAATAGCTATTACTCACCTGAATAGCGACGACGGACAATTGACTGTAATGTGAGGACCGCCTGTGTGAGAGAGGCTTGCAGAGACTGGTCAAGACCTTTGGGCCTCAGATGCCCATCAAAACAATAGCTTTCTTAAACCAGCCCCACTTTCTCTTCCTTCTTCCTGTTTTCGGTAACTCCTTAGGAACCCAGTGCTAATTGGTTAAGCTGAGAGAGGTAGTTTTATTGGCTATTTCCTGCCCAAGCCGGTGAAAGTACCAGCATTTTGCACCTTCCCATTGTGCCTTCTTTTGGGTGTCTCATGAATAGGATATTAGGTGAGGAGAGGACACCCTCCAGCAGCCCCAGGGTACACGGGACAATCATCATCCTAAAAATGAATGCATTCCTTCAACAACCCTTTGAATATCCCCAGTCCTGCAGGATGAGTCACTGTGCTCCTCAGGGTCTTGTTGATCTGAGCTGGGTGGTCAATGGTCCATAGCCCTTTGTAATGGCTTCTGTATCTGATTGATAGCTGTAAAGCACACGTTTCATGATAGGCTTTTAGATGATTAAACAAAGAAAAAAAAATTCCTCTGTTTCAGAACCAATACGTGCCTGGCTTATTTAATTTTCTTCACCTCTTAAAATGAATACTGCGGGCAGAGATGAGCTGCTAGCAGCCCGTGGCTTGGCTGTTTCACCTTTATAGTACTATCTAGACTGCTTATCATTCATTCCCAATGCAGGAAAGGTGATGCCTGTGAGATTGGCTTTTGTGTGGGAGCAAATAGATTCTAAGTAGAGTTAAAATAAAGGTAATTGGCTACTTTGGAGAATGTTAATGCTTTAAAATAATGGTATGTTATTTTTATGCTTACGAATTAGGATATGTCTCATTTTACAGGCAAGGTTATATCGTGACCATCTGCCCATCTACTAGAATGAGAAATTGAGCAGATGTGACCTGTAGGTAATAGAGTTTCATCAGTATTTTCTTCTTTGGTTTCTCACATCCTCTGACTTGATTATAATAAAGCCACTTACAGACGCATTCTGCCTTCCTGGTATTGAGCAGCATCTTATTCTACAAATACTCCCACTTTCTTTTGTGAACCACTCACCCTGGAGCTGTGGGTCAGCACTGTTCATTGTGAATGAGGCTGGCAGTATCTGACCCGTACACTCAGGACCAAAAGCAGAAGTCCTGATTTCAGGTTCTGGTCAGGTTCTGATACCCGTGTAAATTCAGACTAACCCTTTTACATTCGTGAAGTTTCTTCTGAGTTACACCAGTATAACAGAGATCACAATTAGCCTCATTCAGTCCTTACTCCAGTATATCTCCCACTGGGATATATCCTGAGATCCTCACTCAGCTTCTGCTCACACTTCACACTAATATCCCTTCATAGCAACTGAGCAAGGTCCTTCCCTGATCTGGACCTGGATCCCTACAACTACAGAAGTACTGAATGTGCATTTTCATGCCTGTTTGACAACGTGTAGTATAAAAGTTTACCGTCCCGGGCACAAAATGTAATTGCTAGTTCTTTACTATGGCAAGTGTTAACAGTGATAAAAATAAACTACATTTTTATTCACCTGGCCAAAAAAAAAATCCTGTGTGCACTGTATGGCATGTACAGATCCAAGCTCTTCATTGCAAGTGGATTGTTAGACGGTCTCCAGGTGAAGTGACAGTGAAGCTGTTTTAATCCTGTTCTGATTTTCTTTTAAAGAGCTGCTACCAAAGAGGTCCTTTGCTAATCTGGCTTCTTAAGGAGGTTTGATTTAACATCTAATGCAAAACAAAACCTGTGGTGGTTTTGCACTTTAAATCTAGTGCCGGTCCAACGTGTGGGAGACTTCAGACTACCTAATGATTTGTCTTTTAAGATCCTCATGCATTTGGGGGAGGGGCTCTTATGTTTAAGCTGCCTGTTTTAGTCAAAAATAGGTTGGGGGAATTTAGAAAGGAAGAAAGTTCTTTCTTGTAAAAATGTCTTGAAGGGTACCAATAACAAAAAGAAGAGCGTGGGGCTGATGAACAGGTAAATACATTGCTTAAGTAACCTCTTCTAGGGCAAGAAGAGCAGGGCTTATTCCAGTCAGTGCTGGCAGTCAGAACAGAGAGTTGTTTGGCTGAAAGAAGAGCTTATTTTCAGAGATTTCAGAGATTTCAGAGACATTAGGGCTGGAAGGGACCTCGGGAGGGACCATTATAAAGCAACTGGTCAGAATCTGGTCTTGGTTACTTGGTTGACGTTAATGAAGTTAGCCTGGGTTTTCACTGGTTTAACCTGGGAAGGAATGTGGCCCATTCTAGCAATCCATTGGGAAATGAAGACTCAAGAAAGGCGAGCATCAAGGGGGAGGAAATAGCGTAGCGAGGCTTTTGCCTGGGTTTTTGTGTTGTTTTTATTTGTGCCCTCTGCTTCACAAAGCATTGCCTACCCCCTGGTTTACCAGCAAGGCTGTGCCAGGAAAAGAGACCAAGGAGAGCATCACCATGACAAACCGTTCTCAGTGCTCAAGAGGTGTGGATCCAAACGGGAGGGAAGCCAAGTAGGCCAGCAAAGAAGTGATAGGATAAAAAGCGTCTTTCTCATCGCTGGGTAGCGTGAAGGTGGGTGCAGTCCCGGGCACACAACCCCTCTGGTTAGGAGCCCGTTGTTGGCACTCACTGGAGAGGAGGGCACCTTAAAATCAAACCTGTTTCCGACTCAGCAGTCAGCGTGTCGTGAAGTGTGGGTGCTTCTTTTTAAAAAGTTTGCAGGTGTTTCTATTTCCTCGCTGGCGAGCTCCCTTCACGTCTGTCTGTTTGTCAGCCTAAATGCATTTTGTGCTTTTTAAGGTAAAGTGTTTTAGACAGAAACTTGAGAGGTAGATGGGTGTAAGGCTGACTGACCAAGGAGGAATGGGGAACAGGATATCCAAAGGTCTGTTACCCATAAAATGCTAATCGGG